AATGTCTCCCTTACCACTCCTCTGTCTGAATAAAACTGAATTAGAACCAAGGTGAGTCCCTCTTCTATGAGAGTTCTGTAATACCTATTTTGTTTTATATTACCAATGATTCCTTTATGTGATCTCGGTGTTTTTCTTTTACAGGGCCTTATAAAACAAGACTTTGCAAAATCACCATTTTAATATATTTAAATATTCATGATTTAATGTGCAGAAATGCATAATGCTTCACTCAATGCCACGCTCTGATTTCTCTGGGTAAACAGTCCAGTACATGTAAGAAATGAAATGTTAGTTCCCATATTTGAACTGAGAATCTAGTCCTTTTTAATGAATTTTTTTTAAATAAAATACTTTTCTATAAAAACCCAGGACAAGTGACTGAAAGACCTTCACCATTTTGACATGCTTGTATCCTTATCTCATACTGTGTGAATGGAGCCAAATTTTCCAGAAGGATGGATAGATGATGACCAACAGAGGAGGTCAGAGGCGCTACACTTCCAGCATCGAGTAAGACATTGTACTCCACAGGCATTTGGGGAATGAGGATCCCTTTAAAGAGAGAGAGAGAGAATAAAAATATGTATGTACGTTTTCTCAGCAAATGGTCAACAAATGCTTATCTTTTAAGAACAACGTATATTTAAACTTAAAGGTATCTTTTTCCTAATAGAGTAATCAATAATTGCATGAAAACTAAGTTGGAAAAGGTGAGAATGCCTATTCCCAAAGTAAGAAATGCGTGTCACCCATTTTAAAAAACAAATGAAGTATAATAATTCTATTCAAAGATACACTCTATGGGTAAATAAAAATGAAGGCATGTTTCACTGCTTAAAAAATACAAGGCAATTAGAAATGGTGCCATATATATTCCTAGGCTTACTTACTCTTACAGTACATAAAAAACCTACGAGTTTTGCTTGTGACAATAATTTTTCTGTAGGCGTTGTGTATGCATCTAGTCTGACACGGATCCTTGACATAACAGCCCATAAAGTATCCAAATCACAGTCTACCTAGAGAATTCCCAGTGCATTAATTATTAAGTCAGGACAGTCCCCTCTGTCAGCGAGACTTATTGGCCCAAATATATATATAAAATTTGGGTTCAAAAACTTGTCATTTTTCACAATGCTTCCTAAAGAAAGAAGGTCATGTCATTTCAGCCTCTTCACAATCTAGTCATAGAATTAAATGCCCGTAAGTCTTGTTTGGTCATGAACAACATGCACACATTTTAAAGGAGAGGATATGCACCTTGAATGAACAATAAAATGAAGTTTCCCACTAAAGTTTCTCATTGATCTGATAGCTTCTAACATATATGGGCTTAGTCACTTAACCTTTGTAGTACTTAAGTTTCTTTGCTACAGAAACAGTGAAATCTACAGCACAGGACTCAGTAAGCCACGAGAGAGAAGATCTAAAGAATGAAACGTGGTTGTGCTTTTTGTAGATACAGCTCCAATGGGTGAGGGGCAGAAGAGCTAGTACCAACGAGAATGTTCAGGATTTCGTGTAGAATTGATGAAAATAAGCAGTTTCTGAAGGAAACACTGATCATCGTCGGGAGGACTGATCAATTATTTCCTTTGGAAAGGTGCTAGATTGTGCTGAATTTGGCAACCCAGACTGAGAATTTTAATTTTAAGTTTACAGCATCCTAATTAAACTATTGCTTTTGTCCTCATAGCTTAATTGACTGTTAATTCTATCGTTGATTTCCTAAATTTTCATCTCTGGCTTTATATCTCTCCTGCAGCTCAGATTTCTATTTTGAACTGCTTCACAGAGACCTCAATCTCAACAGGTCCAAAAAAGAATTACACTTTTCTATTCCCAAATCTGTTCTTGGATTTCCTCTTTCCATTGCCCTACGCTGGAGGCCCTAAAGTTAGATCCTTAGAGTAGACTCTGAGAAAAGACTCTGATGTCTTCATTCTCAAGCTCAAGTGACCACTAAGTTTTATCAATGATTTCTTCAGGAAGTTTGGGTTTTATGTATAATCAGCAACATGAGACTCTGAAGATGCTAACATGATCTAACCTGTATTTTAGGAAGATAACACTGATGGCAGGTGAGCAGAGGATTGAAAACAGGAGAGCCAGGAGGTAGGGACACCAGTTTGAAAGTCATTGCATGGTTGCAGCAATAACAGAAACAGGAACAATATTTTACTGCATCCCTGTTTTATGCCAGGCAGTATCCATTACCACATTTATTATCACTAGAATGTCGCCAGAAAGAGAAAGAAAAATGCCATATGACATCATTTATATGAAGAATCTAAAAAATTATAACAATAATAATAAGGACACAAATGAACTAATTATTGTTTTGATTTCTTGAATATGTGTAAGCACATCTGACTGTCCTTTATGACTGGATTCCCGCATTCTGTTGATTCTTATTTTGTAGTTGGATTTATTCCTCTGATAACCATGCAAGTTTAAAAAGCTAAAGATCTAATCTGTTCTTAGAAACAATAACTAGTACATATATGAAAACTAAAAAAAATGCTACGTACTGTGTATATGTATTTACATGCAATATAAAGTGTGTGTGCAGTCGGACTGTAATAATTCTACATATTAAACCTGGAAAAAAATATCACTAGAATGTCAACTTCATACATTTGCGGACTTTGTTTTCCTCAAAACAATAATAAGGTAGGTCCAATACTTAGATTTTAGCGCAGAGTAGTAGCTCAAATACTGAATAAAGAAGCCACATGACCACATTGAAACGTAAATGTTATTACATTTTTCTAAAATGAGAAAACTAAGACCTGGAGGAGAAACAGGTTCCAGATATCATGTGAATTGGATGGAGCAGCCAGACTTGAACTCAGGCCCATTAGATACCAAAGCTTACCCCTCTATACTTATGCTATATTTTGATAATAAAGGCTCGGATGAGGACAACTGTGGGGAAAAGTGAAAGGCTAATTTTGAGAAAACATGGAGAGACAGGTAGAACAGGTCTTGCAGGTAGATTAGATTCAGGGGGAAAAGTGATGGAGGAATCAGAATTACCACTGGCGGAACAAAATTATAGGTGAATATTTAAAGTTCTGAAGGGTGGGTTTCCCAAACAATCAATTGTTTGATTGTTCCCAAATGTCCTAGCCATTTGTGAACTTGTGTCAGAGTGTTTTCAGAGGCAAGGACAAACACGTCCCTGTTTCCCAAAACCAGCTGGCCTGTAAAACCTGTGACACACGCAGCCCCCCTGCCGAGCAAGGGCAAACCAACAGGATCCCACTACTTCCTGTTCACAAAAACGGTGAATAACTTTTTCTTCCTAAAAAGCACAGGACTAGAAAATTATATGTGTAATGAGGGATGAGAAATTTCACTAGCCAGCTGTTTGAACTCTGTAGTCACTGCAGAGTGAACTAACTCTACACCAGCAGAAAAAGTTTAGGCAGACATAACCAGCATGTTGAACAAGTGCAAATACCATTTGTGATGCAGTCAAAACCCAATTTAATTTCCATCTCTCACTATTGCTTTAAAATGAATGTATCCTGTGTACTCTTCCCCAGACATGGGATGAAAAGTTGGCTGGGACCATGATGTTTCTGCTCAGTCTCAGGTAATAGACAATTTGGCATTATTTTTTTTTTCCATGAAGAAAGAAAGATATCACAACAAAGATCTTTAATGGTGTAATGAGTACATATAATGAGCTTACTGAGAAGATATTCTTCACAGTCTAATTCTCAACTGCGAGACAAAACTGGAGCCGTTTTTACTGCTCCCAACAAGACTGCTTTATAATTCAAATGAAATTTGAGAGTTGGATGAAGGGAGTTGCTTAGAGGAAACACTTGAGACTCTGGGTTCATTAATGGGCAAGGAAAACTTAAGTACTGAATTAGAGGTAAAATAAAGAGCAATATAATCAGGCGTTTTTTTTTTTTTTCTTTCACTAAAGATGTTCTTTGGGGAGTATTGCTCAAGGTAGTAAAAGAGATTGAAGAGTGAATCAGGGACCCTCTCAATATGCAATCTGACCTTTCAGCAGGAAGTACACTTATGGAACTATCCACCCAGAATATCACGGAATGTCACAGCATCCCACCTCAGATTTGGAGCATTTCTCCCTATTGTTACCTGGACACAGCCTGCAGAGCAGTGGGGCAAAAAGTTTGCTGTTTGCACACACATATTTATGACAAAATACAGAGAGCAAGAATTGCCTGGACATTGAGCCTGTCACTGGGGTCGGCTTTCTTCAGATTGACTGAATATCCTGCAATGTAACAACATAACATGCTTTACCTAAAGAGATTAGTAGAAAATGTACCCCTGCAGGATAAATTATACATTACTTTTTTACATAGACAGACATATTGAAGTTCAATGCCAAACTAGCATGAATTTTTAAGATAAAAAAGCAAGACCTTAAAAAAAAAATCACAAGTTTATGGTGATTGCTTTAGGTTTGTTCCTAAATCTAAATCTCCTGGGATCACATGTTCACTCTCTTTTCTCTGTCCCTACGGTAGATCTTATGGAAAAGTTTGACAAACACATTTGAAAAACACGCCATCATTCTTGTTGAACTAGACAAACCATAGAATGGAGTCAGATCAAACCCCTTTTTTATGCCTTCATTTGTTTCTGATAAATTACTCAACCTTTATGAATGCCAGTCTCTTTGTCTATAAAATGATGATGCTAATATCCACCTCATAAAGAGCTGAAAGAATTAAATTTAAATATGTGTGTACAGCATTTTAGTACATCACTGCAATACAGAAAGTGCCGAGTAAATGACAGGCGCCTCTACAAAAAAAAAAAAAAAAAAAAAAAAGAAAAGAGAGAAATGGAACAAAATGGGAAAAAACCTGCACAACTAGAACACTGTCTTCATGGCTCTCAAACACTTCTGAACCCATCTTTTGTATAAAGCTGTTATTCCAATTACAAATTAATGCGATATTTTGACTCAAGTAAATATCTTTATAACAATATTTTGTTATCTAGCTTTATTTTTTACATATACTTGGATATGTTAAGTTCTATTCCTGTGAAGAGATTCTATTCTTCACCCTAGTAATGATTTAGAGCAATCGCTCCTTCAATTTGTCTGAGGTTGCACCTTATTACACTGCGCTTTTAGTCTGTATCTACTGGTCTGCTTCCAGTAACTCCTCTGCTTTTTAAGCAGAGAACAGGACTCCCAGGAGGTCAGGGAACAAAACTGCGCTTCCATCACGTTGCAAATATGGACATAATCTTGATCTCGGCTGGTCAAAGCATGAACCCGGAAAATGCATTTTTCACGTCTTGGTTAATCGGAAATAAATATCCTTTACATACACCTATGAGGTGTTGAAACAGCAAATGCTCCTTGAAGCTGTGAACATGTCAAACGCTGACATGCGTTTAGGAAAGAGGGTCCCCTCCACTGTCATGATTTACAGGATGGTGACATGAAAGTCTCCTTTCTTCCTGCAAGCCCTCGACCATCTGCGGTGAGTCTGAAGCGACCCAGCCCCCTGACATTCTGATGACTGAATGAAATGAAATGGGCATAT